TCATAACTCAGGGTGGGTTTGCTGTTGGTGGCAACAGTGGCAATTCCCAAAATGCCTCTAGGAGCCATGCCTGTAACGCTTGTAGTCTCCTTTAGAAGCCCGTGTGACAACGCAGGAGCACAGTTGGCAGACTAGGACAGAGTGTTGTCACGCTTTCATAGAAATTGACTGAACAAGGACCTTTATGGCAAGATCACCAGGAATAATTTTACTGAAATATGCAAATTAAGAGAGATTGAAAATGACTTTTGAAATGACATCATTTCATGAGCACCTGCAGTCGAAGGTTCTTCCTGTTTCTAAGCCTGGCAGTCTCAGGAGATTTTGAATGAGGTTTTGTGATGTCACTACTGTGCCACTCACTGTTCTCCTTACTGGAAAGGAAGATCTACCTGAGGACCTGCAGTTAAAGGATCTCCCTGCATGAAAGCCTGGTTGTCTCGGGAGATTTGGTGATGTCACTACTGTGCCACTCACTGTTCTCCTTACTGGAGAGGAAGATGTACCTGAGGACCTGCAGTTAAAGGATCTCCCTGCATCCAAGCCTGGTAGTCTCAGGATATTTGGAATACGATTTGGTGATGTCACTACTGTGCCACTCACTGTTCTCCTTACTGGAGAGGAAGATCTACCTGAGAACCTGCAGTTAACGGATCTCCTTGCATCCAAGCCTGGTTGTCTCAGGATATTTTGAATGAGGTTTGGTGATGTCACTAATATGCTGCTCACAGTTCTCCCTACTGGAGAGGAAAATGTCCCTGAGTACATGCAGTTAAAGGATCTCCCTTCTTCCAAGCCTGGTATTCTCAGGAGATTTGGTGATATTACTACTGTGCTGCTCAATGTTCTCCTTACTGGCGATTAAGATGTACCTGAGGACCTGCAGTTGAAGATCTCCCTGCTTCCAAGTCTGGTAGTCTCAGGAGATTTGGAGTGAGATTTGGTGATGTCACTACTATGCTGCTCACTGTTCTCCTTACTGAAGAGGAAGATGTACCTGAGGACCTGCAGTTGAAGGATCTCCCAGCTTCCTAGCCTGGTAGTCAGAACAAGGAACATCTAGAACATCCTGTTCTCTACCCTTATAGCTGTATATTTGCAGTGTGAAATCATCTAAGGCACTGCTGACTCTGAATGTTAGTCTCACCAAATTTGGAATGAGATTTGGGGATGTCATTACTGTTCTGATCACTGTTCTTCTTACAAGAGAGGAAGATGCACCTGAGTACATGCAGTTAACAGATCTCCCTTCTTCCAAGCCTGGTATTCTCAGGGGATTTGGAGTGAGATTTGGTGATGTCACTACTGTGCTACTCACTGTTCTCCTTACTCAACAGGAAGATGCACCTAAGGACCTGCAGTTAAAGGATCTCCCTGCTTCCAAGCCTGGTAGCCAGAACGGGGAACATCTAGAACATCCTGCTCTGTACTCTTATAGCTGTATATCTGCAGTGTGAAACCATCTAAGGCACTGCTGACTCTGAATGTTAGTCTCATCAGATTTGGAGTGAAATTTGGTGATGTCACTACTGTGCTGATCACTGTTCTTCTTACTGCAGAGGAAGATGTTCCTGAGGAACTGCAGTTGAAGGATCTCCCTGTTTCCAAGCCTGTTAGTCTCAGGAGATATGGAATGAGATTTGGTGATGTCACTACTGTGCTGCTCATTGTTCCCCTTACTGGAGAGGAAGATGTACCTGAGGACCTGCAGCTGAATGATCTCCCTGCTTCCAAGCCTGTTAAGGCCGTGACACACTGCATGCGAAGCCATGCAGAGCGAAGCAAAGCTATCCGGCACGGAGCTTTGCGTGCAGTGTGTGAACTGAGTGCAGTCACATGATTGACAGCACCTTCAGCCAATCGGCTCGTCCGTAACAACCTGCCAGCTGTCGCATCGCGACGTGCTGGTTTATACGCGCGAGCCGATTGGCTGAAGTTGAAATTGTTCATCTCGACACGCTCAGCTCCGCGAGCTCTCGCAAGCTGAGCTGCCGAGCAGAAAATTACATGACACACTGCTCGCAAAGGCAGCGCCCCCCCCGCTCCGCGCTGCTTCGCGTGCAGTGTGGCACGGCCTTTAGTCTCAGGAGATTTGGAATGAGATTTGGGGATGTCACTACCGTGCTTCTCATTGTTCTCCTTACTGGAGAGGAAGATGTACCTGAAGACCTGCAATGCAAGGATCTCTCTGCTTCTACATCCATTCCATCTGCGCTTCTTCCATCATACCCCACCAGTCATCAGATCACCAGTCATTGGGGAAGGGGATGGGGGCAGCTCTGACATCAGGACATGTTGGTGACTAGTTTTTTACTCCCTGCCTCCATTGTACAGTTCCCTCTGACGGAGATAAAGGAAGGCAATAAGAGAAATCCATTGTTTGGGTTAACATACATACCAGGTAGAAGATAAAATGGCATGGATGATCTCTACAGCAGTTGGCCATTGGCTAACCAGACCCGTATGATATCTCCAAAATACCGAATAGGTGTTGGAGTAAATGGTATGGCTTGGTGCCATGGTATGTTCCCGGTTATGATGCCAAGAACGGTGCGGTCACATTCTTACTCCAGTATTGTGTGACACCTCCTCAGAGGACTCTGTAATATAACACCTGTGGTCACATATAGAGCTTCCCAGGTGTTGCAGCGCTAACTGTGTCCACTAGATGGCAGCACAACTCAGGCTACATAATATTTATGTGTATAGGTAGTCTCTGCATTTCTTTTTGCATTGCTCCTCTCTTCTCTTCTCCCTTCCCCTCTCTTCTCCCTTCCCCTCTCTTCTCCCTTCCCTTCTCTTCTCCCCTCTCTTCTCCTCTCTTCTCTTCTCTCCATTCCCCTCTCTTCTCCCTTCCCCTCTCTTCTCTCCATTCCCCTCTCTTCTCCCTTCCCCTCTCTTCTCCCTTCCCCTCTCTTCTCTTCTCCTTTGCCCTCTCTTCTCTTCTCCCTTCTCTTCTCTCCCTTCCCCTCTCTTCTCCCTTCTCCTCTCTTCTCTTCCTTCCTCTGCTCCGCTTCTCCATTCCTCTCTGCTCCTCTTTTCTCTTCTCCCTTCCTCTCCTCCTCTCTTCTCCTCCTCTTTTCTCTTCTCCCTTCCTGTCCTCTGCTCCTCCTCTCCCCTCATCTTTTCTTCTCCTCTCTTCTCTTCTCCTTTCTCCTCCTGGCCTTTTGTAAACGTTCCTCATTCCTTCTCTCCCCTCCTCTTGTAAATTTTCCTCTCCCCTCTTGTTGTAAATTCTTCTCTCCTCTGCTTTCGCCTCACCTCCACTCCTCATATCAATTTTCATCTTCAACAGTCGTTTTTTGCTTTTTCCTCTCCACTGCAATTCTCTCTTCTCCTCTCCTCTTGTAAATTCTCCTTTCCCTTCCTCTCTATTCCCTTACCTCCTTTGCTTTTTTAAAGATTACTCTCCTCTCCAATTCTCTTCTCTCGTCCATTCCTCTTATAAATTCTCCATTTCCTCCTCTCCGTTCCTCTCCTCTTGTAAATTCTCCTCATCTCACTTCTCCTCTCCTCTCATCTTGTAACCTCCTCCTATCCCCTTCCTTCCTCATCTTCTATCCTTTTGTAAGCTAAACCTTTCTCTCGTCTGCCCTCCTCTCCATCCTTCACGTGTGTTATTGTGGTGGAATATGTTCTCCTCCCTGTGTGTCAGAACACAGTGATGGTCATTTTGGCAGATCGGCAGTGACACAATAAAATCCTCATTATAGGGAATGATGTCACCTAATAGTGGCCTCTCGTTACCTAATTGCTCTGTAGAATGTTTGGTGCAGACAGAACAATTGTATAGAAATTAAGGCGGAATTAGGGATTTGCAGACACCCCATTCACCTTCAGATTTCTCCTCTCCCCTCCCCCTATTGTAAACTCTTCTCCACCCTTCTTTCTTGTCTTTTCCTCTCCTCTTGTAAATTCTCCTCTCCTCTTCTCTTGTAAATGTTTCCCTCTCTCTTCTCAACTCCCTCTCCTCTATTCTTCCACCTTTTTACCTTCTTTTATTCTGCTCTTGTAAACCCTATTATCCCCCCCCCCCTACCTTTCCCTTCTCTCCTCTCCTCTCCCCTTCTCTCTTTTGCTCTCCTTTCCTCTTCTCTTGTAAATTCTCCTCTCCCTCTCCTCTCTCTTCTCCTCCTATCTCTTGTCCTCTCCCTCTCCTCCTATCTCCTCTCCTCTCCCTCTCCTCCTTTCTCTTTTCCTCTTCCCCTCCTTCTCCCCCTCTCCTTTCTCTTTTCCTCTTCCTCTCCTTCTCCCCCTCTCCTTTCTCTTCCTGTCCTCTTTCATCTCCTCTCTCGCTCCCCTCTCTTCTCTCCTGTCCCTCGCCTCTCTTCTCCTCTCCCTCTCCTTTTTCTTCTCTCCTCCTCCCCCTCTCCTCTCTCTCCCTCTCTCTTCTGCTCTCCCTCTCTCTCTCCTCTCCCTCTCCTTTTTCTTCTCTCCTCCTCACCCTCTCCTCTCTTCCTCCTCTTCCTCTCTCTTCTGCTCTCCCTCTCTCTTCTGCTCTCCCTCTCTCTTCTCTCCTATCTCTTCTCCTCTCCCTCTCCTCCTTTCTCTTTTCCTCTTCCTCTCCTTTTCCCCCTCTCCTCTCTCTTCTCCTCCCCCTCTCCTCCTACCTTCCATCTCCTCTCACCCTCTCGTCTCCTCACCCTGTCCTCTCTCTTCTCCTCTCCCTCTATTCCTCTCTCTTATACCCTCTCTTCTCTCCTCTCCCTCTCCTCCTCTTTCTTCCTCTCTCTCCTCCCCCTCTCCTCCTCCCTTCCATCTCCTCTCTCTTCTCATCTCTCGTCTCTTCCCTCCTCTCCCTCTCCTCTTTTCTCCTCTCCCTCTCTCTTCTCCTCTCCCTCTCCCCCTGTACCCTCTCTTCTCCCCATCCCCCCCCCCCCCCCCAAATACGGGATGATCTCATCGCCACTAATAGAAGCCTCTGGTGTCCTAATTGCTCCGTATGATGCTCGCATTGGAGGAGACGAGGACGACGGTGGTATGTAGGCGAGGTGGAATTGGGGCTTCTGCAGACACACCTGGTTCCCGGGATTTACAAGGTCGCCGGAATCACAGCCGACACTCACACTGATACTCGGGATTCCTGGAGGGTGAGTAATAACATTTCAGCCGGTTCTAGCTGCGAGACGCCGGGGCGGGGACCGTCACATGTCACAGAATGAATGTCATCGCGCTCTGTACATATAATATACATTTCTATGAGCCCAATAAATAGAATTCCGCTTCATTGTCAGCAAATTCCTTCTGAGGTCACCTCATTGTCACCCGTGTTCTGTGCACCTAAAGAGGACCTGTCAGTAACTTCATGAGGCTGCGTGAATACATCCCGGACATGTCACAGCGCTCAGCCACAGCATCATTTGTAGAAAAAGCTCCACCATTTATCATTAGAAAGCCGTGTTTCAGCACCAGGCTGAGATGATGTCATCAGCCTGCTGCAGGCAGGAGGAAGCATGTCCTCAGTCTCCTCTCCCCAGTGATCAGTCTGCTGCAGGCAGGAGGAAGCATGTCCTCAGTCTCCTCTCCCCAGTGATCAGTCTGCTGCAGGCAGGAGGAAGCATGTCCTCAGTCTCCTCTCCCCAGTGATCAGTCTGCTGCAGGCAGGAGGAAGCATGTCCTCAGTCTCCTCTCCCCAGTGATCAGTCTGCTGCAGGCAGGAGGAAGCATGTCCTCAGTCTCCTCTCCCCAGTGATCAGTCTGCTGCAGGCAGGAGGAAGCATGTCCTCAGTCTCCTCTCCCCAGTGATCAGTCTGCTGCAGGCAGGAGGAAGCATGTCCTCAGTCTCCTCTCCCCAGTGATCAGTCTGCTGCAGGCAGGAGGAAGCATTTCCTCAGTCTCCCCTCCCCCAGTGATCAGACTGCTGCAGGCGGGAGGAAGCATTTCCCCAGTCTCCTCTCCCCCCCGTGATCATTCTGCTGCAGGCAGGAGGAAGCATTTCCCCAGTCTCCTCTCCCCCCGTGATCAGTCTGCTGCAGGCAGGAGAAAGCATTTCCTCAGTCTCCCCTCCCCCAGTCATCAGTCTGCTGCAGGCAGGGGGAAGCATTTCCTCAGTCTCCTCTCCCCCAGTGATCAGTCTGCTGCAGGCAGGAGAAAGCATTTCCTCAGTCTCCCCTCCCCCAGTCATCAGTCTGCTGCAGGCAGGGGGAAGCATTTCCTCAGTCTCCTCTCCCCCAGTGATCAGTCTGCTGCAGGCAGGAGAAAGCATTTCCTCAGTCTCCCCTCCCCCAGTCATCAGTCTGCTGCAGGCAGGGGGAAGCATTTCCTCAGTCTCCTCTCCCCCAGTGATCAGTCTGCTGCAGGCAGGAGAAAGCATTTCCTCAGTCTCCCCTCCCCCAGTCATCAGTCTGCTGCAGGCAGGGGGAAGCATTTCCTCAGTCTCCTCTCCCCCAGTGATCAGTCTGCTGCAGGCAGGAGAAAGCATTTCCTCAGTCTCCCCTCCCCCAGTCATCAGTCTGCTGCAGGCAGGGGGAAGCATTTCCTCAGTCTCCTCTCCCCCAGTGATCAGTCTGCTGCAGGCAGGAGAAAGCATTTCCTCAGTCTCCCCTCCCCCAGTCATCAGTCTGCTGCAGGCAGGGGGAAGCATTTCCTCAGTCTCCTCTCCCCCAGTGATCAGTCTGCTGCAGGCAGGAGAAAGCATTTCCTCAGTCTCCCCTCCCCCAGTCATCAGTCTGCTGCAGGCAGGGGGAAGCATTTCCTCAGTCTCCTCTCCCCCAGTGATCAGTCTGCTGCAGGCAGGAGAAAGCATTTCCTCAGTCTCCCCTCCCCCAGTCATCAGTCTGCTGCAGGCAGGGGGAAGCATTTCCTCAGTCTCCTCTCCCCCAGTGATCAGTCTGCTGCAGGCAGGAGAAAGCATTTCCTCAGTCTCCCCTCCCCCAGTCATCAGTCTGCTGCAGGCAGGGGGAAGCATTTCCTCAGTCTCCTCTCCCCCAGTGATCAGTCTGCTGCAGGCAGGAGAAAGCATTTCCTCAGTCTCCCCTCCCCCAGTCATCAGTCTGCTGCAGGCAGGGGGAAGCATTTCCTCAGTCTCCTCTCCCCCAGTGATCAGTCTGCTGCAGGCAGGAGAAAGCATTTCCTCAGTCTCCCCTCCCCCAGTCATCAGTCTGCTGCAGGCAGGGGGAAGCATTTCCTCAGTCTCCTCTCCCCCAGTGATCAGTCTGCTGCAGGCAGGAGAAAGCATTTCCTCAGTCTCCCCTCCCCCAGTCATCAGTCTGCTGCAGGCAGGGGGAAGCATTTCCTCAGTCTCCTCTCCCCCAGTGATCAGTCTGCTGCAGGCAGGAGAAAGCATTTCCTCAGTCTCCCCTCCCCCAGTCATCAGTCTGCTGCAGGCAGGGGGAAGCATTTCCTCAGTCTCCTCTCCCCCAGTGATCAGTCTGCTGCAGGCAGGAGAAAGCATTTCCTCAGTCTCCCCTCCCCCAGTCATCAGTCTGCTGCAGGCAGGGGGAAGCATTTCCTCAGTCTCCTCTCCCCCAGTGATCAGTCTGCTGCAGGCAGGAGAAAGCATTTCCTCAGTCTCCCCTCCCCCAGTCATCAGTCTGCTGCAGGCAGGGGGAAGCATTTCCTCAGTCTCCTCTCCCCCAGTGATCAGTCTGCTGCAGGCAGGAGAAAGCATTTCCTCAGTCTCCCCTCCCCCAGTCATCAGTCTGCTGCAGGCAGGGGGAAGCATTTCCTCAGTCTCCTCTCCCCCAGTGATCAGTCTGCTGCAGGCAGGAGAAAGCATTTCCTCAGTCTCCCCTCCCCCAGTCATCAGTCTGCTGCAGGCAGGGGGAAGCATTTCCTCAGTCTCCTCTCCCCCAGTGATCAGTCTGCTGCAGGCAGGAGAAAGCATTTCCTCAGTCTCCCCTCCCCCAGTCATCAGTCTGCTGCAGGCAGGGGGAAGCATTTCCTCAGTCTCCTCTCCCCCAGTGATCAGTCTGCTGCAGGCAGGAGAAAGCATTTCCTCAGTCTCCCCTCCCCCAGTCATCAGTCTGCTGCAGGCAGGGGGAAGCATTTCCTCAGTCTCCTCTCCCCCAGTGATCAGTCTGCTGCAGGCAGGAGAAAGCATTTCCTCAGTCTCCCCTCCCCCAGTCATCAGTCTGCTGCAGGCAGGAGGAAGCATTTCCTCGGTCTTCTCTCCCCCAGTGACCAGAATGCTCATTGTAACTTTGTGGCAAGTCACAAGGTGAGGGGCTGATCTGTGTCACAGGTACCAGACTTTACATGATTGTGTCATCTCTTAGCTATAGCACCTCAGTCCAGGAAGTAGATGGTGACCCTGGGTGACCCCTGAACAAAGATGGCGCCGTTCTTCTGCATCTCAGTCCAGAAAGTAGATGGTGACCCTGGATGCTGGAACAAAGATGGTGCCGTCCTTCTACATCTCAGTCCAGGAAGTAGATGGTGACCCTGGATGCTGGAACAAAGATGGTGCCGTCCTTCTACATCTCAGTCCAGGAAGTAGATGGTGACCCTGGATGCTGGAACAAAGATGGTGCCGTCCTTCTACATCTCAGTCCAGGAAGTAGTTGGTGACCCTGGGTGACCCCTGAACAAAGATGGCGCCGTCCCTCTGCATCTCAGTCCAGAAAGTAGATGGTGACCCTGGATGCTGGAACAAAGATGGTGCCGTCCTTCTACATCTCAGTCCAGGAAGTAGTTGGTGACCCTGGGTGACCCCTGAACAAAGATGGCGCCGTCCCTCTGCATCTCAGTCCAGAAAGTAGATGGTGACCCTGGATGCTGGAACAAAGATGGTGCCGTCCTTCTACATCTCAGTCCAGGAAGTAGTTGGTGACCCCAGGTGACCCCTGAACAAAGATGGTGCCGTCCTTCTACATCTCAGTCCAGGAAGTAGTTGGTGACCCCAGGTGACCCCTGAACAAAGATGGCGCCGTCCCTCTGGAGAGGAAAGCAAATTAAGGCATGGTCAGGGGTAATCATGTGATTGCTGTGAGAGGTAATAAATACCTGGCAGTGTTACAATGACACATTACTGAGTATGCTGCATATCGGATGACAGGTCCACTTTAATGAGGGTAAACTATAAATATTTAGTACATTCCTCTGGATGAACAATAATATCTCCAGCCAGCTACAACATTTGGGAGAGAGGACCCGCAAAAGTGTGCCGTCAGCCAATCAGGCATCAGTCTTACACAAGGAGTTTACTGATTGGAGGAGAAAGAGCACACATATTTCCATTAGTGTGCCGCTGATCCCTCACTGTCCAATCACAGGCTGGGGGGCGGGTCCCTGACCAAGCTGTATGGCTTTAACTGCAGTGCAGAAAAGTCAGGTCAAGGACCCGGCCCTGTATCCTGGCAGTCACAGCGTCCAGGAAATAAAAGGGAGTCTGGTTCAAGGACCTGGCTGAGCACACCGCGCGGCTCGCCGGTTCAGACTTGGGGGGAAGTCCCAGTCCTGGACTGTCCATGTGCCATCCTATATGTAAATCTATATTGTGTTTCACGCACAAGGTGGATTTTGTCTCCCTCGGATGAATTTATTGCCGTGATAACTACACTTCGTCCTGAACTTTACTCCTGACGCACCCTGAATGGTTTTTCGGTTCAGATCTTGGCGCGAGCTGCCCAGAATCAACTGGAGGATCCCGCAAGCAAATTATCCGTTGTCCTTCAATTTACGCTGGTCAGTTAAAGGATGCGTCCATCTTTGTATTGGGGGAGGGGGAATACAATGTCTTACCGTCTCTGTATTTTTATATCCTGCCCTCATTGCGTTCCCTGTCCAATATGGTTCCAATCTGGTGACAGAGCGGCCATTTCTGTGTGGGAGACGGCGAGCGCCCGGGCCCGTAGACGTGGCAGCCATGTTTGAAAACCTGATGGTAGCCAAGGCATGATCACATGACACATCGGGGGTCCTCACCTGTAACATTGTCTTCTCTCTCCCTCTCCTCTCTCCCCTCTCACTTGTTTTCTCCCTCTCTTCTCTCTCCCTCTCCTCTCTCTCTCCCTCTCCTCTCACTTGTTTTCTCCCTCTCTTCTCTCCCCTCCTCTTCTCTTCCTCCTCTTTCTCTCCTCTCTCTTTCCCCTCTCCTCTCTCTCTTTCCCCCTCTCCTCTCTCTCCCTTTCTCTCCTCTCTCTCTCCCTCT